GTCCTGCCATGTCCTTGGAATGGTCAGTATTTGATGAATTTACAACTTGGAAAGAACATCTTTCAAACTTCAGTTCCTGCTATCTTACTAAATCAGCTGATTTTTTTAGAACAATCGGTTTTTTACTGGGAACAGATGACAGATGGGATTTTCATTTTCAGTGAAAAAGTCAAGAATTATACTTTGATGGTGCTGAACAATATGGCAGAATTTGTGTGCAAATATAAACTATTATAAAATCTGTTTAAAATAAACAATTTTCTGTCCTTTGATAGTAAAAAAGAAGAAAAAGAAAAAAACAGAGAGAGAAAAGACCAAGATGGATGTCAGAAGGGACTCTGAATATTGCACTAGAGTGCTGAGAAGCCAAAGCAAAGAGAAGAAATCAAGATATTGAAGAGCTGAACAGAAGGTTTCAAAGGGCAGCAGGAGAAGACAAAGTATTACAATGAAATATGCAAAGAGCTGGTGTCAGAAAATCAAAGGAGCAGAACTCACTCAGCATTACTTAATCTTAAGGAACTGAAGAACAAATTGAAGCTTTGAGTTGCAAGGATATTAAATGATCCAGGAAGTATGAAAAGAAGATGGAAATAGTACACAGAGTTATTGTACCAAAAGGAATTGATGAACACAGAAGAATTCCATGTAAAGACAGTTGAACATTAAAAAAACAATGAATTCACTCTACCACATTAACTAAACAAAGAAAAGACCCACAGTATTTTTAAAAAGAAAAAAAAATGGCATTTAACAAGATCCAACACAAAACTCTGATAAAAATGTTGAGCAAGATAGGAAGAGAAGGGAAATTCCTCAACATAATTAAATGTATAGACACAAGACCGACAACCAACATTATTTTCAAAGTACAGATACTAAAAATTTTCTTGTGAATAGAAACTAGGTAAGGATGACTTATTTTTATAATCAGAGTAGGACACAGTTCAAGTGGCATAGTGTGTAAGGGGTTGTGCTGCCAACACCAAAGCAAGCAATATGAATCCACCAACTCCTTCACAGGAGAAAGATGGACAACCTACCCATGTGTGACTTATAGTCTCTGAAATCCACTGAAGGTCAGCTATATATAACAACAACCATCAGACCAATAAAGAAATAAAAATAATTCAAGTTGATAAAAAAGAAGTACGTCTATCTGCAGTTTATAGTATGTTATACATAGAAACACTCAAGAGACTCAAAAGGAAGACTTCATTGAAGAATTCAACAAAGTTTCAGGCAATAAGACCAATATATGAAAATAAATCAGGTATCTCCTCACTATTGTTGTGGTTTTTCTTAAGTGCCATTAAGTTGAGGCCAAACCAGAGTGACCCTATGAACAACAATTTGAACCCTATCCTATCCTATGGCATCCTTACATTTCCTAACACATTAGAGCTATCACTTTGTAAATCCACCTGGTCCAGTGTCTTCCTCTCCTTCACTGACCCTTTTCCTTTCTGAGCATCATGTCCCTCACAAGGAATAGCCCTTTTCAGCAATATGCCTAAAATATGTGAGTGATGGGATGACATCAAGGATACCACACATTAATAAACCTAATGGGCACTACAAAGATAGAGGAGAAAGGAAAAAACCAAAATGGATGTCAGAAGAGGCTCTAAAAATTGAACTAGGATGCTGAGAAGCAAAACATGCCGAAGTAAAAGAGCTGAACAGAAGATTTCAAAGGAAGACAAAGTAAAATATTATTAACTGAAAGTGTAAAGAGCTAGAATTGTAAAATAAAAAGGGAAGGACTTGCTCTCCATTTCTCAAGCTGAAAAAACTGAAAAACAAAGTTAAGGTTCAAGTTGCAATAATGCAAGATGCTATGGGCAATATATTGAATGACCTTCTACACTAATAAAGAAAAATCAGGAAAATCACTTTGGGCTAAGAGGCATCTAAGACAACCCATCATACTGCTAATCACTTCACATGTCTGATGCACCTGAATTTTGTGTTGGTTAAAAGTATTGAATATACCATGCACTGCCAAAAGAACAAAATAATCTGTCTTAGAAGTACAACCAGAGTGTTTCCTAGAAGCAAAGAAAATGAAACTTTCTCTCACATACTTTGGCACATTATCATACGAGGATAGTCTCTGGAGAAAGGCATCATACTTGGTAAAGTACATTGTTTAGTCCAAGTCAAAACGAATTCATAGCTAACTCTCCAGAGGGTTTTTAGAGGCAGTAAATAGAGAAGTTGGAAGTAGGAGTGGCAACCACTTCCTAAGTAACACGCCTCTGGAAACTCTGTGAACTTTGATAAATGTTGATAGTTATAGAAAGGCTTCAGGCCTTTTATTCACAGGGTTGCCATGAATTGTGCTCGACCTGATGACAATTAACAACAAAAAATTGGAAGGAGATTGTCCATCTTTCTCCCACAGATAAACTGGTGAACTCAAAAAACATAACTTTGGGTTAGAGTGCAATTCCTTATTGCTACACCACCAGAGCTACCTTCTGACAAAGTACAGGGTCAGAAAAAAAGAGGAAGACCTCAAAGAGAAGGACTGACCCCAGTGACTGCAACAATGAACAAGAACAGCACTAATTCTAAGGACGGTAGGATGGTGTGGCTTCCCTCAATGTTTTGTTCTGATATACATATGGTTATATATATATATATATATATATATGCAACTTTATGGCACATAACAACAGTACCAACTTAAGTTTATATAGCTATATATTGGTATATACAATTATGTAGAAATATATATTGGTTTTGAATTCCACTGAGCCAACTACTATAAAAAAAACAATTTGAACTTTGCCTTATTTTACCCCATCCTCATCATCTCTGATTTACTTATACTCAGTATTACAATCACGGTATCAATCCATCTTGTTAAACGTCTTCTCATTCTTTGACCCTCCACCTATCCCAGTATGATCTCTCTTACCAAGAACTGTCCTTCTACCAATAGATCCAAAGTAAGTGAAATGAAGTTTTACCATATTTCCCTCAAGGGAACAAGCTGCATTTCTTCCAAGACCGACTTATTTGTTTTTTTAGCAGTTCATAAATACACACATATAGATATACAAATTTTTATGTGAAGTTAATAAAAGACTTTTGTTGTTGTCAAGTGCCATCGAGTCGTAGATAACTCATAGTGCCAGTGCTATACCACTTACAAGAATATTTGACAAAAACAAACAAACAAACACACACACACACACACACACACACACACACAAAACAACTAAAACCATTCTGGAGGGCCACAGCTTGGGCTTGGTAGCGTAACTTCCTGTCCACTAGACCAATGCAGCTCTCTATGTTGTCACTGTTATTGTTGTTAAGTGCCATCGAGTCATAGACAACTCATAGCGACCCTATGAATGAATGACCTGAACACTTGTATAACTTTGGCCATTTCTCCATGTTCACAGAGTTTCCATAGGCAAGCCATTTCAGAAGTGGATGCCACTCCTGCTTCCAAGCTCATTTTAATTGGGAAGCTCCACCAAACACTGTCCACCATGGGTAACAATTATCACATTTGGCACATCAGTATCACAGTGTTTAGCATCACAACAACCACGACGTATGAGTTACCTTTGTACAGCAATGCACAGACCAGTGCTATACCACTTAGAAGAAAACCCTTTTCATCAGCAGTATGGCACTGGAAAGACTATAAATCAAAATATCTTTAAAATAAATCTATTGAAATACATAAGCAAAAATAACTAGAAGATGTCATCTCACCAGTCCCTCCCAAGTTAAGTAATAATTTAGAGTTATTGCTTCTGCGTTCCATTGTGTGAATGTACCATAATTTCTCAATTCATTGGTTTGTGGTTGGACATTTGGGCTTTTTCCACGTTCTTGCGATGGTGAATAATGCTGCTATGAACATTGATGTATTATGCTGAGTGAATATTGTATAAAAACCTTTATTGTAGAATGAGTATAAGGATCCAGGAAGGGTGGGAGAAGCTGGAAGTAGAGGATGTGGATGTGCAGGGGGAGAGGGGATTAATCATTGAATTGTACAATTTGATGGGTGGGGGGGTGAGGGAAATGGAAAGAATTTGTTCAAATTTGTATTTTAATTTTGTAAATAAACTAGTAGAAAAATAAAAGTTAAAAATTGACAATGAAGACAGAAAACAAAATAAAAAAGAAAAACAAATAAACTAGAATTTAAAAAAAAGAGACATCATCTCACCCTAGTCACAATAGTAAAAGTCAACAAAGCAGCAAATTACAAATGCTTGTGAGGAAACTGGAACCCTTATCTACTGCTGGTGGGAGTGTAGAATGGTGCAACGACTATGGAAGGTATATGGTACTTTGGAAATAGAAATACCAGTTGAACCAGCAATTCCACTACTAGGAATATACCCTAAAGAAACCAGAGCTGCCACCCAAACAGATATATTCATACCTATGTTCACTGCTGCATTATTCACAACAGCAAAGAGATGGAAGCAACCCAAGTTCCCATCAACAAATGAATGGATAGAAAAACTATGGTATATTCACATGCAGTACTGAAAAACAAGGAACTCATAAAATATTCCACAACATGGGTGACTCTGGAGGACAAAATGCTAAGTAAAATACCTCAGTCACAAAAGAACAAATACTGCATAACACCACTGTTATAAAACCAGACTGATATGGGGTTGGGGGGAAACTAAGAAAAGAGGGGATAGATAATGAACACTACTGCCCTGGAACAGATGAAGGAAAGAACTGTTTAAGAGGTGCATAGCAAAGTAGCCTGGAAGGGGCACAGGGGTGGAGGATGGAGGAGAGGTGGGGAGAAAGGAGTAAACTATGTAACAATGAATGATTTTTTTTTTAAAAAAAAAGCAAACTAGAGGAGTAGGGAGAAAAATGTGCCACAATGAAGAATGAAAAATACAACCTTTCTGTAACCTTTTGTAAAATCATAATAGAAAATTATAAAAAAAATTAAAAACTTTAAATAATTATGATACACAGTTAAATATATTTCTTACCATACACAAGATATTTTAATTGAATATTTTTAGCTTCTTCTTCCACAGTAGGCTTATACTCAAGGAAACATGTGTAAATTCCACTCATAGATTCCTCAAAGTTCTGGAATACAAGGCTTCCAGTGGATGTCACTTTTATTGTGTTATTTTCTAATAAAGAATAAAACACAGTATTAGATGATTAAATTGTATGAAAATGTCCTTCCCACAAAAACATTAAAATAAAGCAAAACCATGAAATTTACAGAAAAATTTCTATGCGGAGTCATGGAAAAGAGATGAGCCATACTTGGTATGGTGCTTGTTGACCTCCTTAGAGTTACTAACTACAGTGCATCAATTTTATGGCTGCCTAAATGATAAGACACTAAAAAACACAAGTACATAAAGTGCTTTTAATTTGTGCCTGCATGTGAAACAATGTACTTCAGGGCAAAATTAATCCAATATATTTAATACATAGCTAACAATTTCTGTTCAATACTCATGATACTAATAATTGTAATGGCTGCAGAATAAAGAAAATAAACTAGATCAACTAACTGGACCAAAGTCACCTAGAAAGATCTGTTTCTATGTAAACACACTGCAACATTTTGAAGGAATACAGTTGGGGGAAACTGTGCTGTGTAGTTGTTGTTAGGTGCCATTGAGGTGAGTATGATCCATAGCAATCCTAAGAACAACAGACCTGAACCCTTTCCTATCCTGTGCCATCCTCATACTTTCCATTGACTTTAAATCACACATTGACTCAAAGGCATTACAACTTAAATTTCTAGAGATGCAAATACAAAAACCTTAGTCTAGGAACAATAAAAACAAAACTCAAGGAACTGTATTATATAAAGAAGAATGTGGCATTACGTTGGAAGGAGACTCTCCAACAATGTATCTCATGCAGAAACTGGAAAAAATACACAAAAAAACCCCCCCAAAAAACAAAAACACACAACTAGAATAATTTACTACAGAAGACCAAAGACTACAGCTTTCAATATGGATATTTCAACATCACATCAAGAAAACAAAAATTCCCACCAGACCAATGGCAATATTATGATAAATAAAAAATTGAAGTTGGCAAGGATTGTCTTTTAAATGGGTCCACAATCAATGCCCATGGAGGCAGCAGTTAAGAAAACAAACAATTTACTACACCAAGCAAATTTACTGCCAAGGAACTCTTTAATGTACTAGGCTTCATATGACAGAGTTTAACTCCTCATAGTTTTATCTCACACTGCCTTGAAATAATTTTGACAAATATTTACCAAAAAAGAAAAAAAAATTTGACTCAATCATGTGGATGACTCAACCCATGGTATTTTTAATTGCTTCATATGTATCTTAAAGTCAGACACTGAATAAGGAAGATCAAAGGATAATCAATGCCTTTGAATTTTGATGCTGGGGGAAATATTGCCTATATAATGGGCTATCAAAATAGCAAATAAATGTATCTTGGAAGAGTACAGCAAGTGTGGTTCTTAGAATTAAGAATGATGAGACTTGTCCCATATGCTTTGATCAAGGGTCTAGTACCTGGAGAAAAGCATCATGTTTGGGAAAGCAGGGGTTTAGGGAAGGAGAGGAAGACCTTAAATGAGATAGGTGGACAAAGTGACTAGAACAATGGGTTTAAACACAATAGAGATTATGAGAAAACCCAAGGACTGGGCAGAGTTTCCTTTTGTTGTACATATGGTAGCTGACTGGAGATAATGCAATAGAACTTAACAAAACCATCAGTATATATGTCTATATAAACGAACATCTAACATTTTAGATGGGTCCCTGATAGCAGATTTCCCCAATACAACATGTTCTGATATCTAGACTGCTGTTCACAAACATATTGATTGTGGATCCTAGGAAATGAAATTCTTGACAAGGTAAGCTATTTCTTCATTTATGATCTTATTTATTGGTCTAGTTAAATGGATTTTTTTAACTTCTTTATGTGCTAGCCATATTGAAAACTGTACTTTTTAATATTCCTCAGAAAGTGCTTTAAGTCTTCTTTACTTTCATCAAGTAAAGCTGTGTCATCTGGATAACAAAGGTTGTTAATGAGTCTTCCTCTAATCCTGTCACACAATCTTATATAGTCCAGTTTCTCAGGTTTTTTACTCTACATACAGAAAAAGTAAATCTGATGAAATGATAAAACCATGAATATCCTCCCAAGTTAGGTAATAATATATAAAATCATTGCTCCTGCGTGCTGCACAGTGTGTGAATGTACCATAATTGCTCAATCCATTTGTTTGTGGTTGGACATTTGGGCCGTTTCCATGTTCTTGTGATGGTGAATAATGCTGCTATGAACACTGGTGTACAAATCTCAGTTTGTGCCTCAGTTCTCATTTTCTCAGAGTGTATTCCAAGTAGTGGAATAGCTGGGTCATGTGGAATGGCTATGTTCAGTTTTTTGAGGAAGCACCAAACTGTCTTCCAGAATGGTTGTGCCACTTTACAATTCTACTAACAATGTTTAAGAGTTCATTTCTCGTCACATCCTCGCCAACATTTATTACTTGCTGTTCTGTTAAAGTATGCTATTGTTCCTGGAGTGAGATGGTTCCTCATTGTGGTTTTGATTTGCATCTTCTTTATTGCCAGTGATTTGGAGCATTTCTTCATGTGTCAGTTTGCCATTCAAATATCTTCCTCTGTGAAAATTCTTTCCATGTCTTTTGCCCATTTTGTAATTGGGTTATCAGTCTTTTTCTTGTGGGGAGACCCAGGAGAGTATTATGTAAACTTTTGTTATAAGACTCTTGTCTGACCAAATGTTTGTTCTCAGTCTGTAAGTTTTCTTTTCACCCTGTTGGAAAAAGTTTTTGATGCACATACAGATTTAATCTTCAGAAGGTCCCATGTATCAATTTTATCCTCTTCAGAGTGTACATTTCTGGTTGTATTTGGCAGTCTCTTTATACCTCAAATTAGCGCTTCAAAGCTTGATCCCAATTTGTCTCTTATGAATGTTATGGCTTTTGGCTTTATCCCAGGTCTCTGATCCACCTTGAGTTGATTTTTGTATACATGTGAGATGTGGACCCTGTTTCAGCTTTCTGCAGGTGAAAGTCCAGTTTTTCCAGCACCATTTGTTGAAGAGTTTATAATTTCCTCATTTGATAGTTTGATTTCTTTGTCAAATATCAGTTGACTATAGAGAGCTGGCTCTATCTCTGGGTTCTTTATTCTGTTTCATTCATCTATGTGCTTGTCATTGTACCAGTATTGTGCTATTTTTGTTACTACTGCTCTGTAGTAGGTTTTGAGGTCAGGGAGTGCTATGCCTCCAACTTTACTTTTGTTGCTCAGAAGTATTTTGCTTATTTGAGGTCTCTTGCCTCTCCCAATAAATTTGATCATTCCCCTATCTATCTCCTTGAAAAATGAATTTGGATCTGGGTTGGGATTGCATTAAACATGTAGATTGCTTTTGGTAAGACTGTCATTTTCACAATATTGAGTCTTCCTATCCATGAACAGGGCACATTTTCCTACTTCTTTAGGTCTTTTATTTTGTCTTTCAGAAATGCTCTGTAGTTTTCTTTGTAAAGGTCTCTTGTATCTCTAATTCGGTTCATTCCTATGTATCTCAATTTGTGCTTGGCTACTGTAAATGGTATTGCTTTCCTGATTTCCTTCTCTGAGTTATCTTTGTTACTGTAGAAGAATCCTTTTGATTTTTGTATATTGATCTTATATCCTGTCACTCTATTAAACTGGCCTATTAACTCTAACAGGTTTTGGTGGTGTTGTTTTGTTGACTCTGTGGGGTTTTCTGTGTACACTATCATATCACCTGTATATAGTGAAAGTTTAACCATCTCTTTGCCAATCTGGATGCCTTTTATTTCCTTCTTTTGTCGTATTGCCATAGAGCAAGTATTTCCAATACAATATTGAAAAGAAGTGGTGACAGTAGGTATCTTTGGTCCCTCTTTGCAAGGAAAATGTTTTTAGTCCTTTTCCATTGGGAATTATATTGGCTCTTGGTTTTACATATATACTTTTTACCATGTTGAAGAAATTCACTTCTATTCAAATTTTGCTGAGTGTCTCTATCAGGAAGGGGTGTTGGATTTTGACAAATACCTTTTTTGCATCAATTACTAAGATTATATGGTTCTTTTTATTTACTTTGTTAATATAATGAATTACGTTGTTTTCCTTATGTTGAACCATCCTTGCATAACTTATGAATCCCACTTGCACATGGTGAATTATTTTTTTATGTGTTTTTGGATTCTATTTGCTAGGATTTTTGCATCTATATCCATCAGAGATACTGGTCTGTAGGGTTTTTTTTCCTTGGTAATATCTTTGTCTGCTTTTTGTATTAGTGTTATGCTTGCTATGTGTTCCTTCTTTTCAATTTTTTTAACTAATTTAAGTAGAATGGGTGCTAAATCCTCTATGCATGTTTAGTAGAATTCACCTGTGAAGCCATCTAGGTCTGCACTTTTCTTATGGGGAAGTCTTTTAATTACCTTTTCAATTTCTTCTCTTGTGATGGGTCTGTTCAAGTGTTCTATTATCTGTCCTTGTCAGTCTGGCCAGGGGAAGCATTTCAAGGAATTTGTTCATTTCCTCTAGATTTTTTAATTTAACCTCTAAGTTTTTTAATTTATCATATTCTGGAGAAGAGTATTGAATATACCATGGACTGCTAGAAGAACAAGCAGGTTTCTCCTGAAGAAGGTGAAGCCAGAATGCTCCTTGGAGGCAAGGATTCTGAAGCTTCATCTGATATACTTTGGGCATGGTGCAAGAAGGGACTGGTCCTTGGAGAGGGACATCATGTTTGGGAGAGTGGAGTGATGGCACAAAAGAGGAAGACCCTGAAAGAGATGGATTGATTCTGTGAGTGGAGTTGTGGGAATGGGTATTTTTGAGATGATGAGGCTGGCACAGGATAGAAAGGCATTTAGGACTCTTGTACATAGGGTCACTATGAGTCGTAGGTGACTCGATGGCACATAACAACAACACAACAAAAATATTCTGACATTATCAATTTCATTTTCTCTGGTTCTGTTATGATGTCAACTCTGTCATTTCTTAATCAACTTATCTGTGTCCTTTATTTTTAATTTTTTTTTGTCATATTTTCCTGTGCCTTGTCCATTTCATCAACA